AGAACAGTTCCTGTTTGTTGCCAGTAGTTCTGGATTTTACTATAGGCATAAAAGGGGATGCCAACACTTCATTAAGAACAGCTATGCAAATATTGTAAAGCAGCTGTGCTAGCCATCAAGCACTGCAGCAGCTGCAGGATGAATTGTAGAGTATATATTAAACACAATATATGTCCAAATGTAGTTTATAATAGCGTGGAGATCAAGACAGACATAGATCAATAAATGGTCATGAGTGGACAGTCTAAAGCATTACAGAATTTAGGATGAGAAGAAGTAAATATGCCCAAAATAACAAGTCTGTTGCTCGCCAGTGAACTGTCTTTCCTCTGCAGCACGTTCTGACAAACAGGATGATTGTTCTTCATTAATGTTTCATTATTACTTGGATGTTTGTCTTCCCAGCACACATACTTTTCATTCTGAAAAACAAACAAAACCTACCCTAAATCTGAAGTACTAAGTAAGAGGCAACCATACGGTATAGTAAATTTAATTAACATCATAAAGCATAGAGAAATTTATGTTGAAACTCAGAATCCTATACAATGACCATTGTGGCTCCAGAATTATAGCTTCTGCAAGGATTCAGAAACAAATACATTTTGGGAAGAGAGAAGGTTAGAGGGACAGAGGGATTACCTAATGACTCTTTTTACTATAACTTTTTATTATTTTTTTTTAACTGGAGATGGTTTAACATGACTGTTGTGAAAACTGCATTGCTATGGCAACCTACTAAAAAAAATCACTGTAGGTACATCACATACATATTGACATGTAAGCACTCGCATGAGGTTTTTCTTGAAAGACAAAAACATCTCCTGATTTTCTGTTTTATATATATGATTTAGGCATAGGCTGAATATCAATAATTTCCTTCTTCTTGAAAGACAAAAACATCTCCTGATTTTGTTTAATATATATGATTCAGGCATCGGCTGAATATCAATGATTTCCTTTCTGAATATATACATTCTCATCTAACTATAACTGCCTTAACCCTGCATGAACTCTAGCTGTGCAAGTGACATACATTTGAATTGAGCAGCGTACACTGAACTTCTTGAAATAAAATGAACATTTTATGGTTTTTTCCCACACAGAAGTGCTGTAAACTAGCATATATACTATATCCTTTTTAAAGTAATTTTCGGGGTTTTGGTGGTTTTTTTTTATATATGGTTCTAATTCTTAAATACCAATTTACATATCAAATCTATATAAATGTTAAACGTTCATACAAACGTTAAATACCAAAAGCCTGATTATTCAAGGACTCAAAAATACAGAAATGTTAAATGCTGAATCACTGCACGTTACCTAAAAGAATGACTAACGACTCACATTAAACTGTATGTCACTTATTTTTAGTTAATTTTATATCATATCAGTAATTTTCTTGTCCTAATACAGACCTTTGCACTCATTTTACTGTCATGCTAGCATTACTTATCCCATAGCTACAGAATGTAATCTGGAATATATTTTTAATACCTTTTTTTTTTCAACTGACCAATGGCCTTGGTGATTTGTTTGTAAGAAAAAGAGCAGAGTAAATATGTATGTATAAAGCACCTTTTCAGATTGGAAGCTCTATTAACGTACCATACTTCAACCAAACCAGGCACAAAGGCATTTCCAATCAATAATTCAAAGTAAAGGAGTCCTCTAAAATCACTACATTCAAAATGAAAGGATATTCAAATCTATTTTGATAATATTCAGGTATAACACAGGATCAGTAAGAAAGAACACTGGGACACCCAGGTCTTGATAAGTGCTTAATATGTGACTTTAAAGACAGATCTGAGGAGGAACTGAGGCACTAGAACACTGCAAAGCACCTGCCCTGCTGAAACAAAACCAGGGCCTTTTTTAGATGCTTTAAACTTTTTCATATAAGGGAGAGCTACTTGTCCTAGGCTGTAAACAGTTTACTGGCAGAAGACAGCCTTTTCCAATTGAAGCTCTTCGAACAGCACATTTGCTAGATCTTTTCCCTTTTTAGTTTCCACAGCTTCCCTGCAGCCCGAGGCCCAGGGGAAGATTCCTTTTCCCGGATAATCCACCTTTTCGTGTGTTCTCACACAAACAAGGCCCAATCCCACTCTCCTTTAAAAACATGAGGTGCGGAGCTGCTGCATCTTCCCCTTAATACTCTGTAATTACACAGGGCACTTACCCAGGAGGAGTGAGGGTTACGCATTTTGAGTTCCCTCATACTTCAGAGGCATTGTCCTGAAAAATACCTGTATGGCCAGACTTCATGATGTTCTGCTTGAGGCACTCACCAGACATTCCCTCTTGAAGGTCGGAAGGAGATTATGACCATGACATGGACCAGTCAGGAAGCTACCCAGGTTGGGGGGAGTCATATTCTAGTTTCTGCCTCAAGAATTGTGGAAGAATTTTATCCGAAGACTGCCCAAGGAAACAATTTTCCACTAGTAAATGTGGGACTTGCAGAACTGCAGTTTTAGTAGCAAGCACTTAAATTCCCTTCTATTCTTTTTGTGCTCAAGGGAGTTTTTTGGGCACTCAGATCCCAGATGGGTATCTAAATAAAGAATGAGCCTTTTGAGTTAAGAAAGCACATCACAAATTTCAAAACTAATTCCAGTAAAAGTATGTAGGATGCATAATGTGAAGCATGGAGCCCCAGTGGTTTTATTGCAAACAACTCCAGGATTTTTGGTTGTACCTCTGTAAGTTTTTTCAACTAGTTCAAATGCTTGATTTGATTTAAAAATCAACAAGACTTGCATTTGCTAGAAGGAGCAACAGCTGTAACTGTTGTTGCTGTCCTTACAGTTCCACACAATAATGTTTAAAGAAAGAGAAATGAAAACAAACTCAGGTTTGAATTTGTACAATTTGTACAATTTCTGTGCCAGATCTGGTTGAGAGATGAAGAAGAAAAATGTCTGCTGGGAATGGAGGAGGACGGTAAGTTAGTAATTACGTCTCTTGGTACCTGTTTTGTTTACTAATCAAAGGTCTAATTGCTTTGCTCTATTTTAATTAACAATGTTCTTATTTTAATTAGTTACTTTTCCTGCATACATTAGCACTGAGAGAAACCACTGAGGATATGAATAACGTGATTAAGAGTTTAAAGTTAAGCTTTTAAAAATGTTTTAGCAATTTCTCAAGTGTTTAATAATGAAAAATAAAGCTGTTCTTCATAAATGTGGCTACTACTTCTCCGAGGATTTCATCTGAGCCAAAAGAAGCCTTTCTTTCTTTTGACTTAAAAAGTCAACTGATATCAAATATAATTAACACAGGCGCCAAAAGAGCTAATGTAGGAATGTGAAAGGTTTGATAGTATTTAGATATGCTAAAATGTTCAGGCTGGACGAATCTTTTGAAACGTCCCAACGCAACAGCCATTCTCTTAAAAACCAATCTTGACATTATTAGCAATTATCTTTGAAACTTAGGGAACTTTATCTTTTTCCCTAACACAGGCTGGGAAGAACCGGAGAACTCAGACAGATTGTTCCAATTCCTGGGAAGATATCCGAACAATTAACCCTTACGTAAGTAAGTACTTACTTAAGTACTTACGTAAGTACTTTAATTAACAAGGACACAGTTAGCAACCATTGTCTTTTTCCTAGGAACTGTTTTTGACAAATGTGTTTGCTTCCTCCGCGGGGTCAGGAACAGGCTGGGTGTACAGGAAGAACTATAAATCCTCACATTTTGGATACAATATTGTAGAATCATAAAGTGGTTAGAGTTGGAAGGGATCTTAAAGATCATCCAGTTCCAGCCCCTGCCCTGGGCAGGGACACCTCCCACCAGACCAGGTTGCTCCAAGCCCCATCCAGCCTGGTCTTGAACACCTCCAGGGATGGGGCATCCAAAACTTCTCTGGACAACCTGTTCCAGTGTCTCACCACCCTCACAGTAAAGAATTTCTTTCTAGTATCTAACCTGAATCTCCCCTCTTTCAGTTTAAAACCATTACCCCTCATCCTATCGCTTCACCCCCTGATAAGGAGTCCCTCCCATCTCTCCTGTAGCCCCCTTCAGGTATTGGAAGGCTGTTATAAGGTCTCCCTGGAGCCTTCTCTTCTCCAGGCTGAACAACCCCAACTCTCTCAGCCTGTCTTCACAGCAGAGGTGCTCCAGCCCTCTGATCATTGTCGTGGCCCTCTGCTATATAGCCCTGCCCAATGTTCTTGTGTGCAACCCAAGAAGGGTCTGTCTATATGAAACTAACAGTATTATAACCAGTATATAACCAGCTGTATGTTACACAGCTGGTTAGAAAACCACATGCACTAATTAGCAGTTCATTGTCCAAGAGGCAATTACCAATTGGGATTTTGCAGAGGCCTGTTCCGAGTTGTAAACGGAACAGAAAATATATTCATTAAACTTAAGGATAACAGCAAAATGGAAACGTCTGAAAAACGTGGTAGTAGATCATTACATTTTGTTTTGAAATAATCAGGATGTAATTCAATAAAGACAAAGGCAGAGTGCTGCATTTGGTAGGAATAATCAACTGTTCAAACACAGAATGCCATAAATACAAATATAGAAACGAATGTATACAAATATAGGAACATGGGCAGCTTTTTCAGGAAAGGAAGCAGCAACTTTAGTGGAAGAAGTGGAATAGAAGTCAGTATTGTGCTGCTTCACAAACAGCAATCACAATGGGACATATAAAAAGGAAAGGTCCTAACCAACCCAAATATATGGTTAACTAGAATGCTATGACCAGGTTTGATTATCACATATTTGATAGGGAGAGAGGTTTGCTGATGATTCTGGAAAGGAACAAGATGTACAAGACAAGAGATGTACAGAAAATGTGGCTGATGAAATCCACAATGGATTGTCCCGGGAAGCTTAAGAAAAAATTACATATTTATCAGAATATCATGTATCTGATTCCCTCTTTAGGTGGTGATACAGTCATACCTCCCTCTTCCCTCCACACACTCAACCAAAAGAAAACAAGATTGTGAAAGCACTTGCTACCTTTTATATTTTATTGTGCATTTTGTAAATGCTTAAAGATACCACACAAGACTCTAAGCATTATGTTGTCCATATACAGTGTATCACACAGTAAGAGACAGATCCCCAAAAAATCTCACATTCTAATTCAAACAGACAAAAATTAGATAAAATAGTATTATCTCATTATAGAGAAGGGAAACCACACAAAATAATAGCAGAAACTGAAAAAGGTTCTTCCAAATCTGTACATTAAGGCCATCAAAAATACCCTATGCTTTTGGCAACTCTCAAACAGATTAAAAATAGTGTGAATATAGTTAGGGCTTGTCAAACTAAAAAGATTATTTAAAAATAAATTTTAATAGGTTGCCAATTCAGAAGAAATTCAAGTGTGAAATTCAATCAAACAAACAATAGCTACAAAGGGAATAAACAAAACCCTTTTTCCTCCTTTAATATAAATTAATTGCCAGACCAATTTGTCATAAATTACTCTTCTTTCTTTCATATACGGCTGCATATAAGTTCATGAAGTTATTCTCAGCAGATGAAATTAAGTTGTCAAGATCATAATCAACTTCATAAGTAGGTCTCTTTCCAAAAATTATAAGAGCAAGTAATACAGCAAAATGTGCAGTAAGTCCCCATATCTTGAATGACGTTTTACGTTCATGGTCATCATATATAAAGCAGTGCATCCAATTTGAGTAACCAGATGAGGTTGTGTAAGGCAAGGCTTTGTAATTTAAGGGCTTGATGAAGTACTCCAATGGCACGAGAAAAACATCACTCACTTCATCTGGATTAGGAGTGGCCTGGAACGTATCCTCTATAAACCCTACAACTGGTGTTACCAAGTGATTCATCTAAAAGGCAAAAAAGAAAAAAGCCATCAAAACAGCCCCAAACACGTAAAAGAAAGTTATTCTAAAATTTTCTCTCATCAAAATTTCCTTTGTTGCTGCTTGTGTCCTTTGTCTTAAGAAGAATCTGGTATCACCTTCTCTATAACCACCCTGGAGGTATCTGAAGAGACTGGAAACCAGAGAGACTGGTTTTCTCTTCTTCAGGCTGAGCAAACCCTCTTCTCTCAGCCTCTCCTCACAGCCCACGTGCTCCAGCCCCCTTGCTATCTCCATGCCTGTCCCCTGGCCTCTCGCCAGTTTTCCACCATCCTTCTGGTACTCCCATGTGTCCGTAACTGGACATGAAACACCAAAACTGTTCTCACAAATGCCAAACGGAGCAAGAATCTCTTCCCTTTGCTCTGTTGGCAACACAGGCTGCGTACTTTAAGCAGCAGTGGTGATTTAGAGTTACAGGTTTGAAAAGGTCCTTATCAACCTTGCAAAAGAAAATAACCCAAGCTTATTTTCTAATAATACGGCGATCTACTCAGTTTATCACTTACTTTATCAATTCCAGGCACAAGCCTACAGATGACCTCCACCTTCTCTGGCTGGAGCCCCACTTCTTCTTTAGCTTCTCGCAGAGCAGTATCAATTTCATCTTTATCGATTGCTTCCCTTTTACCTCCTGGAAAACACACTTCGCCTGGTGATCTTCTCAGCTAGAATTTAAAGGAATATTACTGTTAAATATAACAAAGTTCTACCTTTCTTCCTGGATCCACACACAGACTTGTTCATTTTGCAGAATCACTTTATCTTTCCAGTAAAAGACGCTGACAATGGTGGTTTAGGGGTTTCTGCAGATCAGAATAAATGTAGCTTATTAAGAGCTACACGACAAAAAGCTGGGCCTATACCCAACTAAGCCATAAACTCCCACTATCAGAAATCACTTAGATTGTGTAATTCATACTGTACACCCTACTTTAATACTTCAAAATTTCACCATCTTTCTTGCATAAGAGACTGACAGATTAATCTAGACAGACAACTTGAATAATGAGACTAAAATAATCTAGGTGAGAGCAAGAACTAAAATACACATTCAAATAAGGTAACTTTAAGTACATTATAGTCACAGGCTTGTATCAAAGATCAGTAAAAAGTCTGTTTACTATCAGTTTATCAGTGAAGTAACTGTAATTATTCGGGTCTTCATATTTCTACACAAGACCACCAAAAAATTCAATTTTTCAGCCACTGAAAAACAGACAAGTAAATGACTCGTGAATACAGGCAGTTGATGGGGGTGTAAGGGGTGGAAAAGAAGAGCTGTAACAGAAAACAAAACACTGGCAGAAGAGTTCTGGGGGGCTTCAGTTGTTGCCTCGCCTTTCATATATGAGAGAAGAGCAATATTAAAGGAAAAGTCGCATTAATAAAGGCTGCGTACATAGTACATAATCAGAATTTCCTTTTCTGGTGAGGAAATCATCTTGTTCCCTCACAGGTTTCTGGGCGTCCAGCATTTTTGTGGCAGGTAAATACTGGAACCATCGGTATATTAAGAGTATCTGTTTGTAACCGTGGCCCCGCAGCCCCTGGAACTCGCGGATGGGGCCTGTGCGAACCCCCGGCCACCGTTTTCCTCCCCTCAGGCCACCCGCCGGCGGGGCCCTGGCGACCCCCGGCACCCACCTGCATGGCGCGGACGGTGAGCAGCAGGTGCAGCCTGCCCTCCCGCACCACCAGCGGCAGCAGGACGGAGGCTTTGGCCAGCGGCAGGCGGGAGAACTTGTCTCCGACATCGAACTCCCTCAGGCGCAGCCGCGCCGTCTCTTTCACTCCCTTTCTAGAAGCAAACAGAACGGAGCGCCGTGACACCCACCCCGAGGCCGTGCCCCGGCCCCCCGCGGGCAGCGGGAGAGGTGTTTCACCACAGAGCTGACCCGCTCGGGTGCCGCCGACACACCGCCCCGTGTCAGCGCGGGAAGGGCCCGGGACGGCCGGTACCTTTCCAGCTCGTCCTGCCGCTCCGCAGCCGCCATCTTTGGCACCCCCCACCTGACAGCGGACTCTCGCATTCTGCCCCCCCCTCTCTGACCGACGGCCGGTCTGTCCAATCAACACGCGAGATCGCCGGGCCCCGCCTTCTGATTGGTGGCGGGCAGGCCGCGCGAGGGGGGGGCCGCGCGAGGTGGGGGCCGCGCGAGGCGGGGGGCCGCGCGCGGCGTTCCCGCCCTCAGCCGGGCTCTGAGGGGAGGAACGGGCCGGGCGTCGCGGCGGGCACCTTGTCAGGGGTCAGCGGGGCGTCGGCGGCAGCTTCCCGGGGACAGTTACCCGGAGAAGGGCGGTGTTAACTGCCAGCGGCCCTCTTTTCAGCTGGGAAAAGCAGACAACCTCCGAGCTGTTCGGTACGGTGCCCCCCGAGCAGCCTCCGTGGCCCGCCCTCAGTGAGGCGAGGGCGGTGGCAGAGGGCTGGCGGCTCCGGTACGGGCCGCTCCCGTAGGTAAGGGTCCCATTCGTACAGGCACCAGCGTTCCTCCTCTCAGCCGCTTTAAGGGGCGGATTGTGTGACATTATCCCAGCCCCTGGCTCTCTGGAAAGCCGCATTGCATCCCTGGCACAGCCTGGGCACCTGCGGCCCAGTGCTCTTGGGAGATAGCGAGGGGGGGGCCGCGCGAGGGGGCTGCGCGCGGCGTTCCCGCCCTCAGCCGGGCTCTGAGGGGAGGAACGGGCCGGGCGTCGCGGCGGGCACCTTGTCAGGGGTCAGCGGGGCGTCGGCGGCAGCTTCCCGGGGATAGTTACCCGGAGAAGGGCGGTGTTAACTGCCAGCGGCCCTCTTTTCAGCTGGGAAAAGCAGACAACCTCCGAGCTGTTCGGTACGGTGCCCCCCGAGCAGCCTCCGTGGCCCGCCCTCAGTGAGGCGAGGGCGGTGGCAGAGGGCTGGCGGCTCCGGTACGGGCCGCTCCCGTAGGTAAGGGTCCCATTCGTACAGGCACCAGCGTTCCTCCTCTCAGCCGCTTTAAGGGGCGGATTGTGTGACATTATCCCAGCCCCTGGCTCTCTGGAAAGCCGCATTGCATCCCTGGCACAGCCTGGGCACCTGCGGCCCAGTGCTCTTGGGAGATAAAGTACCTCAGAGGACCCTATTGAACACCGACGCCCAGCTCAGTACTCTTAATTAACCACGGGGAACAAAGGCCCAAGGTCTTGGAGCTTAGTTTAATCATTTAGTACAGGTAGGATGCAGTGAGGTGCCATAGTGCCTTGAACTTGGTGCAGTCTCTGGGCTGTAAAATTTAGGTTCCAGTTCTCGTTCGAGACACACAAGTAGCAGAAGTAATTTTGTGGTGTAGTGTTTTTTTTCATGCAGTCTTAACAGCTGGTCACCAGAAGTATTTGCAGCTCAAGAGGCCCCACAATGGTAAAGTTAACATGCGGTCCCTCAAAAACAAGATGCCATACCACAGGTTACTTGGAATGTATAAAAACTAATCTTAGTCTAGTTAAGTTAATATTGACTTCTTTTTTTCTCATTGCATTAAGCTAAAGAACCAAATGTGTTTTCTATGTGGTGTGTGCTTTGTACAGTTTACTTAACCTCCAGTCCTTAGAAGCTTATTCAGCCTGTTTGGTACACAAAGTACATGTCTATCTATTTACACATGCGAGCTCACATGTAAAAATCAGTGCAGTTTATATACGCATAATATGTTACTTCATGTAGTAAATTAAAATCCAAACATAATTACATACACATGTATGTGTCCTGGCTGTGTCCCCAGTGATTGCAGCAGAACATAATATCCATTTTATGGCCAGTGTTCTGTTCAGGCTTCACTGAAACTTGAACAGAACTCATTCACCTTTAAGCTGTTTTACATTATCATTATAGGAAAATATACACAGAATACTATATTTAGAAAATCTTGTCGTTTTCTGTGAAAAGAGCACAATTAGTAGATGACTACTTATTATTTATCCACACAGCTGTACACGCCACTGGACTATTGTTCCAGAAAACTGATGTGATCAGATCCTGTATTTCTCTTTGGCTTTCTCTTTCAGAATGCAGATGTGCTAAAAAAAAAAACCAAAAAAAACCAACTTCAGAGAAAACGCAAGAATGATTTTCAGTCATATTCCTAGCATTGCAAGGAAAGCACACCAGAACAGTAATCTTTGCGAGTTTGGTTGCAGGTTTACTACTTGCAGTAAGATTGAGATGTTAAGGTTGCTTCTAAGCTTATCTGTAATTTATAAAAATTCATATATTCTGAAGAGGTCGGGTTTCTTCAATTATTTTAACCTTCTTTATATTGCTTTGCAATAGCAGAGATCCAGTATGTGTCTTCAGCAGAATGGTTTTGTCTTTTTAATAAGACTTTAAAGTTAAAAACTTTTCCACTTAATGAGATTTAAGAAAGTACTTTTGAAAACTGAGGAGTGGAAAAAAAAGATCAGCTCTTTCTATCAGTTACGCTCTTTCCAAGTCTACTACTCAGTGCAGCCTAAAGGGACTCTAATGGAACAAAGGAAAATAAAGATCTTAATGGCCATGTTACACAGTGTAGGAGAAAACCTTGACATGGGGGCCACACACAGCCACCTTAAAGACTTGGCTAGAAAGAGAGCAACATAGGATTTCACCAAGACAGACAAACATCAAGTTAAAACCAAATTACAAGTTACTTCCTTTTTCAGGTGGGGCCAGCAGATTCTGTGCTGCCAACCATCCTGGAGGATCCAGAATATCATACAGCATGGCTGGGCCACGAGGCTTGTGGAGTAGATTCATAAAAAGGTAAGGGGCAAACAAGTTTTCTGCATTTACATTTATCAGATTGGCACATTAATACTGGCTTTGCCCTATTAATGGAAGTTTCTAGTCAGATTTGAAGTTTTTTTAATTGTTGAGGAGCTCCTAGTATAAGCTAATATTATTGCTGTTTACCTGTGGTGGCAGCCGTGTATGTAACATATAAGGTACACATGTATGTACTTACATTTAAATCTCTGAAGTATTCATTATAATCAAGAGCATATCCAACCACAAATTTATCTGGAATTTCAAAGCCTGTATCTGTAACAAAATACAATTCTTTTTATTCTTGGGTGGTGTGAATAGCTTTTAGGTACACAGTTTGTATTCAACACATGCTTCAGCTATTTAAGAGTAATATCTAACAAATACATCATCTTGCTTTAAAAGTACTTAGCATGCTTCTTTAAGAATCAGAACTGCAAATTGATGACAGAGGTTAGAATCTATACCATCCCCATCAGTTAATGATACAATTAAAGTGTTAGGAGAATGTATTTGTAAGAACAAAATAAGTACTTAAGAGATACTCATGGGAGAAGGAGACAAGGAGTGAGATGTTACTTGTGTAAAAGTAGATGCACTGCATTTTCAGTTTGAAAACAAGGCAAGAGTTTTAAAAAATGCCTTTCTGGGGTTAAAGCCAAACAATAGCATGTGAAGGTTTGATTCTGTCGTCTGGTAACAAATAGCCAAACCTGCACTCAGACTGACCAGGGGAAAAAAAGAAGGTGGTTGTGAGGTTTCGGTACAGGGTAGCTCATTGTCAGTTTACAATTTTTTATGTATTTTCTTCCCATTTCTCTTGGCCTTCCTGAAACTTATATGCCTGTTTTCAGACTTACTGTATGAAGTGAAATTATGAAATCATATTTTGGGCAACTATTAAAATGCAATACTTACAGTCTGGCCTGTAACTTGGACTTCGGTGTGTCCTTTTAACAAGCAGGCTGTAAGGCAGAGAAAAGTTTTTAACAATATATCTTCCTCTAAGCTTCCTACCCCTCCCCTTAAGCTTCTACAATCATGCAGTTAAATTAAAATGATGAGGTTATTGTAACAGAAAGAAGTCGTGTTCAGCCTTATAATTGAGGCAGAAGCAAAGACTCTGATCTAGGATCATTCCGAATGCCCAAATGACACTATTGTTTTATGTTTGGTTCTCTTCAATTCTGTATCCCAAATCACTATCTTTTCATGTAGCAATGTGTCAGCACAGACAGGTAAGCAAGTTCAAGTGGTATATAAAGATTTTGGCAGGGACGGAGGGAGAAGAGATCAAGCTGTGCAATGTCACAAGGATTTCTTCCACAAACTCGTATCTATTCTTGCTTTTCCTGTGCACCTCTGAAGAAACTGAGAATCTCCTGGACAATCACTAGGAGGAACGTAACTGGTACATAAAACAAAAAGTGTTTTTTCAAAGCATTGTGATTACTTGACAGAGACATGAATATTAAAAAAAATTCCTTTTAGAGATCATCTAAAAGCAGATCTAGAAGTCATCTTGCAAGTACTGACAAACTTAGATTCTGGAAATCTGTGTGACCTGAAAACATGCATTAATGACTTTGCTCCTTCCTGTTACAGTACATTAGTAAGTTGCCATATCACTATACCTCACAACTTTTACCATCTTTGGTTCATTGTCTTTCAGTTTTGAAAGTAGTGCTTTCATTGTTCTACCAGTCTCAATAATGTCCTGAAAGAGATAAAAAAAAATAAATTATCCTCTGAGTCTGGAAGAAAACACAGTTTATCAGTGGATTAATTTGAAGCATAAAATCCAGTCAGCAACTCTAACAGCACAGTAACATAATTGATTGTTGTTTTTATATGCAATTGCAATAGGTATTAACTTGCAAAACAGGGAGAAAGAAGTTAATGTTGTTCCCTCCCCTCACATTCCAATCTTTACTTACCTCTACAACTAACACATTCTGGAAAAGGTCATGTAGGGAGAGAAAGAAAAGAAAATATTTACATGGCGATACAGTGAATTATAAACTGGAAAAGTTTGCACTACAAATATCAGTTACAAGTAAGTTGCAGTTGATTTCCAAAGGAGCTTGTCACTTAACTACTTACATTATTTTAGTGCTTTCTGAAGTCTTGCTGTATTTATGGAAACATAAAACATTGAGAGAAAGCCACCTATGTCAGGTAGTATATATTATTCTGTGTATAGCAGTAGCATAGATGAACTGCGTGAGTCAGTTTAAGATGGCTTATTTCTGGGGGCTGTGGGATAAAAATGGGCAATA